CACCTTATTCCCGTGTTCCACAAACAAGCTATTAACAACTGAAGCGACACCGCCGTGAAATAACTGGAAAAGTTTCGTGTGGGAATTTTCCATACAGAACCCATGTTTAGGTGTCCGAAATGACACAACGGATCTTTTCGCATACGGGACAGTTGTCCGTGCCCTTATCCCTGTAACAATTCTGTTGTAGACCAGAGTTCCACCGTGTATTTCTGGAAGCAATTGGTGGTCGACAGATGTAGGGATCCCCGAATCTGGTTGTCAGACCGAACGAAACCCAGACCCAGTTGAAGCTGCCGAGAAGATCAAATACGGTTCCTCGCTCTCGCGTTGTCTGTCGACTGGCGCGGTTGGCTCGTGGATGCTTTCTTGTAGCACCGAATATGTTGTGAAGCTGGAGCATGAGGTGTATTAAAGGGGAGCGCCGAGGACGTCGCTCAAAAGAAGAGAGGGGCAGTGTAATGCTTTGTTTATGCGACTATCTGACGTTTGGCGGTCACTTTAGAGCTTGTCTGGGCCCTGTACACGTGAGCTGGCCTTCGGGCCACGCTCAGGTCCCATTCCTCCTATTGTTTTCGGAATACATGTATCCGACCTCACTTATGCCTTCTTCGCCTTATGGAAAGTCTTGGAAGGGTCATTTCACTTCTTGATCAACACTGAAAGCAGAGGAAATATTGGGAACATTGGAGAGCCGGCGTGTAAGTGGTTCCATAGTTTCAAGCCTTACTTTTGTAATGGCGCAAACTAATCGCCTTTATAGACTTTTGTTTGATCTTTACATAGCTGTAGAGAATCTGGGGCTTATTTCTAAAATTGAAACAAACGGACTGATACAGTTCAGTCAACACTTAGAGACATATTTTAAAATATTTTTATTAATATGAAAATACTATATTTGAAATAATATTTTTCTATTATTAACTAAGCATGCAGGAGCATGTGCGCTGGGCCACTTTGTTTTAAGTCATCTTGTAGTGGGAATTATTGGCGCTCGATACAGTAGTTCTGGTGGCGGCGCTGGTATTCTTTCATTTTTGCTGTCTTTTCTGCGTTTGTTATCATGCATTATCCGAGTTCTTCATCCTTTCACCTATCAAACTTCGTTATTCTTCTTTATCCTTACACCCCGTTTATCTTTCTCTACTTCTTCATATGCAGTGGTATTGGTCTAGATGCTAATATTTAAATGGAATTTTCTTCGCTCCGCAAATAAATTTTCGAAGCTTCCATGGTGTATGTTGATGTTCATTAGACTTTCATTTATTTTCATTTGTAATAAAGGCTTTTAATAGCTAGGGTCGCAGCCAAGTTTTGGCTGTGACTTATAAGTATTCTCCGGACATTTATTTTAGAACAATTTGGCCTCTTGTTTCTCCCTTTGATGCACACATTTTGCTTGGAAAATGATAACGTTTTATAATTGACTTCGTTGTGTTTTGGTGTTTTTTAATTCTAGGTCTGATTCTCTTCGTTTGTAATCATGCCGCTCCTAGGAAATCGACTCCACGTTTTGAACACAATTGTCAAGAAATCGAAGAAGAACGTCGAATTTACACCTTCATTTAAGTTTATTGTTCCAGACACAAAGGAAATATGTTCTTCCGAAGATGAATTGATACGGAAAACAACATTGTACGAATCTAAGATATGGACTTGTAGAGTTACCGGCCGGGCAAATCTGACTTACAAAGAAGCTCTCAAATCAGAACATATTAGTTTGAATCTCTTGAAAAAATCGATATCGGACCATTACCGCTCCGTTATTTTACAAATTGTTCACAAAAGTAAATGAATAATTTCGTCACAACTCGTAGACACTTCCCCACTTGAACCGCTCACTCAAGCTTGTTGGGCTAAGGTTCATGAGCAATTTGTGGTCGGAGAACCAGTTTTGCTAAAAGTTGACTCAAATAAACCGTAAGTCTCAACCTCTCTTTGAAGCTCTTAGAATTCGCGCAACCGTTTTAAGTATTGATGATGCTGCTGACAAACCGTTGGTTATTGACCTATCAAAAGACGAAACCAGTTCGCCTAACAACAGTGACAAGGAAAATAATGTGAATGCCAGACGACCCACCGTGACCAAAGTTTGTTTTCATCATCTGTGTATCATGTTATAGGACAATTTCTCATACAGTGTTCAGTTGGTGTCTGATGAACTTGTTAATGTCAATAATGTGCCTGCTAAGTGCATACAGTAAGGCTTACTTGTTGATTGACGTTTTCCTGAAGGCGTGTTCATCGTGCTCCATCAAAAGATCACATCAGGATGTTTATCCGTGCACACGCTATGCGATATGGTCCATCTTCAAGTGGTCCCTGGGTCGTTGATCCCTCTGCTCTTCGAAAATACTGTCCTACTCTCAAAATGACTAATAGCCTTGTTGACAAGGATAAGGTAGTCACTCTGACCTAATCAAATCTGTCTCTAGCTGAGACTCGTTTCTGAGACGTATGAAATGAAATTTTACGAAAAGATAACGAATGAAAAAAATAAAGGACATGATCCTAATTGCGAGACAGCGATAAAACTTTCCCCAAAGACTCTAAGGATTTTCAAGAATTTGTCGGCGCTTCGCCCTGATTCTCTCAAAAGTCCTGACGAGGCAGCGTCTGTGAAACCAAAAGAGACTCTTGACGGGAAATCAAGGAGAATGAAGCAGGTATGTAATTGCCACTCCTGTGTTTGTACTATCGCTTCTTTTCTCCAGGCCATACTTCCATTCGAAAAGTCAATGGAGTTTCCAACCTCTGGGAGGAAGAGCAAATCGGACATATCACCCAAATTTGATGTCAGTCTTCCACCTATCGCTAAACGTCTTGTTCGAAGCCTTAAAGGAAATGTGGAAGCAAACACTCTTAAAGTGATTGTTTCGCGATGTGTTTCACTTCTTACTGAAGCTCAAATTCGGGCTCTCCCTGATGTTGCTCAAAAGCTTGTTATTGATAAGAAGATTGCTATTGAAAATCGCAAAAAAATGTATGTTTTTCATACTCCTCCCATGTCTTTGTTTGTAATCATTATGCTACCTGCAGTCGCACTTTTATTAACTTTACGGATTCGTTTCTGACGCTGCCCCACTTGACACTGCCACTGTTAGTTTGGTCTACCATGAGTTCCTACTTATTTTCCAGTACCTCAGTTACAATTCTTTTACCTGACATGGCTTTGTAATTTTGTCCCACTAATGTTTCTTTTGAAGGCAAAACATGACTCCCGAACAGCAAAAGGCCTATCTTCGAGATCTGCGCTTACAGCGTCGCACACTGATTGATGAAAACGCACCCTACCCCGAGACTGGTGTTCAGATCGCTGCACTTCCTGAACCTCGTGCTTTCCCACTACCTTTAAACATGACCTCCCTGCAGTTCAGCCGCATTCTCAGTTTCACTGAATTCATCGCCTGCTATCAGCCTCTCCTAACGGAATCTGCCCTTTCACCCGGGGAAATGCTTTATCCCACTCGCTTAAAGCAACTTGCAACTGATCTCTGCTCCTCTATGCTAAACATTGGGGAGGAAGAATTTACGACGGATGTGGAGGAGGAGTCTGCTTTGACATCAACTGACGCTGGGCTTCCTAGGGCATCTATCCAAGGGATTCGATGTCTCAGTTTAGATCGGGTGCTCAGAGCCGTGAGCGAACAGCGCATGTCTGCCACGGCCTATCGGTGTTTGGCTCGGCCTATGGGCTCACTGCTGCGTTTGCTATTTTTTAGTGAGCAGTTTTCTGTACGTTAGTGCCTATTAAATTATTATAATTCATGTAACTCAACTAGATACGGGTACTATCCCTATTTCCTTCAATTTAGAAACAAACTGAATTGGGTATCCAACTCTCTAAAATTCCTATCACACCCTACACGGCTCCAGAACTCCTACGTCTACTGTTGCAATACGAATTGGCAAATGGCACATGTTCAACAAATGACCGGGCTGTAGCTCGTATTTACCAGTCCATCCCCAATCGTGGTGGTGTACGCGAATTGCTACCCTCCGAGGACGGTCTCGGTGCTGCAAGCCTTATTAAGCACCTATCCTCGGCCGATTTGTTTGCATTGGATGTAGAGCACCGTATTTTAGCCATTGAAGTCCTCATTGAACTTATGCTCGATTTTGACACAATGGATGAATATATGCACTTGTGCAACAGGAGGGCCATTAAGGCGTGGCAGACCCGCCTAGCGCTGACCAAGCAGAAAAGGACAGTTATTCCACCGGAACTAGCTGAAGCTAAGTTAACCATTGAAAAAGGTGATTGTTATGTTCAAATCGCCTAAGTTAATCGTGATTAACGGTTACTATTGTTCACCTGTGTTCTCATAATTCTGTCCTTCATGTTTCTCCCACAACAAGCTTCTGTAGTGTGTTTATCTTTGGTGAGGTGAAGAAACTCTACCTAATTAAGTCTTTTTGGTACATCTTGTACTAGTTTATTTCATTCGCTTAACTTTTTCAATTTTGCTACCTGTACATGGCAGCCATAGGCCACAGTCAAAGTCAATGCTGGTTCAGTGTGTTCGTCCTTTAACACCCAGCACGGTATAGGTGAGGAACGCACACTTGCTGTCATCTCTTCTGTACACCGGTTTGTAGGGCCTGAGTCAGACGACCTGGCTTCGATCGTTAAAAATCGTCGAGTCCTGGCTGCCAAGGCCGCTGAAGAACGCGAAATTCGTGAAGCGAAAGTGCGAGAAAGACGTGAGTTGGAGGCAAAGATTGATGCTGAGGAGAAAGCTCTGGCCAAAGCTGAATATGAACATACAGTAGCTTCCACCGAGGCCAAATTAGCCTTTCGCGTGAGCGCTCTCGGTACCGATCGCCGTGACCGTCGCTATTGGCGCTTCTTCTGTGCACCAAATCGCCTCTTCGTCGAGTCCAATTGGGCGCCTGAGGAGTACCATGTTGGAGATAGTCTCATAAAAGAACCATCTGTTGTTGCAGCATTTCCTCCGTCTCATACTTTTCCCGAAGGTCTCGGTAACTACGAGATAGTTCATCGTTTTGGTTACGCAGCGCGTTCGCAGTGGTATGTTCTGGATCAGCTAGATGAGTTGGACGCCTTAGCTAGTGCTCTTGTTGAAAGAGGGGCACGGGAGAGTCAGTTGAGGAAGAACCTTGTTCAGTCAGGCCTCCTGGACAGCGTGAAAGAGTTGATCATGCTGTCGAGAGTTGAGGTAAACCATGGCTCGGAGGAAAAAAAAAGTCCTTATCTCCTGTCATCTGATGGGTTAGCGATAAATCCTTACTTGAATTGAAGTGCTTCTGCTTCTTTTACTGACGTTTTTTATCTGCTTTTATCAGAGCCGTTATCAAAGGAGCGACTGCTGAAGATCGTGGTGATGCCGAAGCTTTTCTCGCCAATGTTCTTCTCAAAGTAATGTTTCCTCTACCGCAATTACTCCTCAAAATATTATGACATGCAGGAGGAATCATGCAGCATTTCCACATTGATTATTGCTTCGTGTTAGCAAAGTTAGCAAAATTAGCTTTTACATTACCTTTTGAACAAAATCACTATTTACTTCTGAAGAGTCTCGCATTGGACCTTTTAACACCCTTTATAGAATGTCTACGAAACTGAAATCCATCTTCGTGACGGCGGCCTCGGGGGCGTTCCGGATTTTCCCTCTTGGATGGCAAATCTCCTTGCAATTCAGGCCAAATATGGGCTCTGCTTTTCTCTCACTGGTAGTGTTCCATCAACTCCGGCAAAGGAGGGTCCTACTGGTGAACCTGCCCCTTCTACTACTCCTGCGGTCTCTATGATATCTAAGACGCCCCTGCGGTGTGCAGCAGAAGCTCTTGTGGCTGTGGGTCAGCACGTTCACCGCCGCTTCTTAGGTGTACCTAAATTAAGGTTACACCAAACAGCCAAACGTCGTGGGGAGACTAATCTTGATGGAGTCAGTCATGAGAACGCTGAACAGATAACTGAGGAGGAAAGTCACAAGGTGGTTACCGAAGCAGAAGGCGCGCATGAGCAACGGCATGAGACTACTGAATTCGAGAAGAACCGCTTACACGAAGGTGATGTGGAGCTTTGGTTGGACGCCTGGGTCAAGGCTGTTCGCTCTGCTGCTACTCTCTCTCGACTAAACGTTCTACATGTTAGTTTAGTCTGTGCTAATCAGTTATGCTGATATTTTGGTGAAGTATCGGAGGCACCAGTTCGTGACTTCGCTGACCTTTTATTTGCTTTGTTGAACTAGTAGTAAAGTTTCATCTCAGTTCTTTCTTTATATTCTTAAATGTATGTTATCTTTGTTGTAATATTTTTCCTCCTTTGTTATTTCATGAGGATCTTGAGTTTTTTTTGTGTGCGTTGTGAAACCATACTCTTTCCACGTTGGATTTTTGAAAAGACTTCATTATTCCAGAATTGCGTTTCCTGATTTCCCATGCGTGCTCTCATATCTTACCGTTCTAACGAAAGCTCGGTAGGCCATGGCGACAACAGGTCAGTTTTTTTTCAGGCATGTCTGGACGCTTGTATTCTGTGGGAAAAATCAGTAGCCAACGTTCGTTGTCGTATTTGCCGTCGCAATAAGGACGATGACAGTCTGTTGCTCTGTGATGGTTGCAACTCTGGTTTCCACCTTTATTGTCTCCGTCCGCCACTACACTCTATTCCCAGTGGTGACTGGTTCTGTGTTTCCTGCAAACCGCCCAGTTACTCCGGAGCTGCCGGTCAGCAGAGGCGCAATCGCCGAGAGGCCTTTGAGGCTTCGGACAGCGAAGAGGTGCGGAGCAGCGCAACAGATTCCGATGAGGAGAGCTGCTCCTCTGGAAGGGAGGAGGAGGGAGACATTGGCTCGCGGGGGAGGCAACAGCGTTCTCCCAGAAGTAGGTTGCGATGTCGTTCCTCTGCTAGGCAGCCTATGTCAAGATCTTCGTCCCGGTCATCTCAGCCCTTTAAAACTCTGGCCAAATCTCGTATGTTTTCTCTGTACCGTACTCCAAATAAGTAGTGTTTAAGTCCTAAAAGTAGTTAGCCTCCGTTAGCTCCCAATACTGAAATTAATCTTCCTAGTCTTTTTCTTGTTTCTTGTCGTGCACCTGCTATCATGGTAACTACACAGTGCCGTGTTTTGGAAGTTCTGGAATCGCATTAGCCATAATTCTTTATGACCAATAGGATTTCAGAGTCAACGATAATTTTGGGTATACTGCCTGCTACGAATCATGTCTTACTAACCCACTTTTTGAGCTCACTAGTGCGCCACTGACATCCACTGACTGAAAGCAGTCGCGAATCATGGTATCCCTAGTACTTCAAATCATTATTACCGTTACTATTGATGCTACTGCTGCTTGGTTTTAATTGGCCATGGATGATAATCTGACAAGAAAATTGTACTGTTGTGAAATTTTTTTGCAAAATATATAGGCATCATTTCGGAGCACAAATCTTTTAACATTATCTCACTTATGCAAGAATTATCCCCTCATCCATCGGTTTTCTTAGGTTTTTCTGCGCATTCCCTTAAGGCAAGCTTAGTTTGTATTTCTGATCAATTCCCCTTGTAGTCTCATCCCTGAATTCGGCGCCAAATGACACTATTTGTCTAGTTTGTGATGATGGTGCAACGGAAGGGGATGAGTTGGTAGACTGCTCCACTTGTCCCAACGCATTTCATCCAAACTGCCACAACCCGCCTCTGCGCTCGGCGAATCGACGCGCACCCTGGGTGTGCTCTGTGTGCCGCGTCAGTCGCTCCGTTTCAGGTGGTCTCTCCGCCATGGGACAGTCGCTCCGCCTCCGTGCTTCTAGCCGGATAAATCGCAAAAGCAGGTATTACTCTCCCCTCTCTTTGCCACTCTCCATTTTGGTTCGATAAAACTGTGCAATTACACTTCAATGGAAAGTGGTACGTATCACCATCACTCTCAATTTGGTTTTGTCATTTTCGTCTCAGCTATCTGCGACTTCATCGAGTCTCGGCGACATCGAAGAAGCGGCCTCGCCCGGGTTCTGATGATGATGATGATGAGAGTTCTGATGGGTCGGATGACGTTTCTAGAGAGGAGGAGGAGATAGCAAACGACACCGAGACGACTGAAGAACAGGCGGATGAGCGAGGACTATTTGGTCCACCAGCTAAGCGTCCCCGGATTACGGCACAGTTTACCTGTGCTGATCTCATAACTGCTGTGCGACGGCACCGAAGCTCATGGCCATTCCAAGAGCCTGTTGACCCGAAGGAGGTACGCCATAATTTCTTTGGTTTCCTAGTCTCACCATCACTTTTGTGTATTTTAAGAATGAAATATATTCCATGCTTACAGCACTATGCTCGTAGTAGGATGGAACTAGGCACAGAATCGTTTTCGAGTCGAATTCTCTGGGTTGCTATTTGTTTACCGCTGGTGGTAGTTGAGTTGCAAAGTTTACCCAGGGCCCTATTTTTCTTCGGTGTGTGTGCAATTGCTATTCTTCAAAAATGCCTTCGCAGGTACCTGACTACTATGAGATAGTGGTGGATCCCATAGACCTTTCAATGATAAACAGTTGGCTTAAGAACGGCCGTTACGAAGGTGCCGAGGGTCCACAGTTCCTCTCTGAGGACCTTGCGAAAATGTTCTTCAATGCCGAACTCTACAACAGTGCAGACTCTGACATCTGGAAGGCTGGGTCACATCTGGAGAACTACGTACAATCCCTCTTCAAAAAATTTTCCCCACGTGAGCTTAGCCTATTGTTTACAGGTCTTTGTAGTCTGCCTTTCTGTTTAAGTAGCAACAGCCTCGAGGACGAAAAATTTTTTCTCGAGAAGAGGTGAATTTTTTTGTTGGTTAAATGCACATAGAAGATCCACGATTGTAACTTCAGTCGAGGCCTACTTTCTCTGTTATTTTTGTGAAAGCCAACAACTCAAACATCAATTTCGATCACGTCAATTGTCATCACAATTTTTTTGCTTTCATTTCATTATTTAGGCATTTTTGACTTTGTTTGTTTCCGCACTGTTTCTCTTTGTTTCAGCCGTGAGCTACAAGCGCGACAAATTGAACTGAGCCATGCCATTTTATTTGCTACCCTATTTGTCACTTGCACTGTAAAGACCTACCATCGGATGAGAGGAACGTACTGTACGCGCAATGCCGCTGCACTGCCCATATCTAATTTCTCTGTATAAAGCAACCGGAAGAAAAGCATTGATAGGTATTGGTCTACTGCATTTTCATTTCGGGCGTCATTTAAACACTTAAAAAGTCAAGATTCACAAACCTATCACATCATTTACTCCTTCCATCTTCAAAGTACTTTTATACACTGGCTGACTTCTCCCCTCTTCCCACTGCGGCTCGGCAGGTGGATTTGACCATGTGGTCCCTACATTTGTGTTTGACCTCATTGGAACGCCGACCTTATAGATGTGTGCATACGTAACCACAACGCTGCATTTATTCAAGTATTAATATAAAGTACTGCCTTTTTCTTTTTTAGTTCTTAAAAGCTTGTGAGTCTATCCTCCTTTGGCATATCTCGGATTTCAATTTTTTCATCTATTTCAACTATTCAATGCTGTAAAAGGTCGTAGGTTTGATGCTGCGGAGATCGGGAGATTGCTAGGATTGCACTCATGGGGTTAGCATGATGGAATAGTAATTAGTTTGGTTGCGCTGTTGCACAAGACCGAGCCATCTTTAGACATGCAAGGATTTTGAGTCTGGTCATGTGGCAGGACTTTTACAAAGATATTTTGCATGCCTTAATTTGAAGTTGAACAGTGGAATAATGCGACATTTCTACTACCTCAGCGGCAAAGCGATGTGAGATGACATGATGGAAAGGTAAGGGAGCTAGTGGCACTCCAGAAGTCGTGTTCTACAGAAAAAGTGGACAATGTTGACAGCCACGTAGACACAAACCATAAAGGGTCTCGAGAATTAAGACTAACTCACTAATATTAGAAAGGATTCACAGAGCTAATATTCGGGCGGTTCGTGTTTTATGCAATGAACGTAGCCACCAGGACAAATATGGTCAAGATGCTTGGGTAAGGTTCCCCAACGTTGAATAAGTAGTCTCAATCTAGCGCCTCGAGACTTCGCGAAAGACAGAAAAAACCATTGATTTGGGCTGAATACATGCATTTTGAGAGGAGAGGAAGGTTTTAGATTGGCCTGAAGACCAGTCTACGAATACCAAAGCAACCGTCAGGCACACAAGTAGTCACAAATGTTCAGTCTCAGGGCAAGAATAGTTAAGCCGAAGAATGGAAGCTAGGACACTAGTGAAAAACAGTTTAACGGGGAAGACGGGGTCAATCTCGTATGGAAAGGGATTCACCAATAGTATCATCTCCGATACCTACGCTTGGATGTAGTAAGAAGAATTCTCCCACAAAACTTCCAGATGGTTCATGGCTTGTTTATGGTACGTGGGGACAATGTGGAGCCAAATACGGACGCAATTCGGAACCTCTCTGCTGTAAGACTCAGACAATATCCCGCTCGATGAAAAAGTGCTTTCTGAGCATCATAGGTACGTACAACAAACAGTGGATACCGGGATAGAAGTCGTTAAGAGGTCGACCCCGCTTTCGGGTGCTATTAGCGTAAAACCCCGGAATTTCTCAGTATCTAGAAGAAGACACTAAATTGGGCAAAAAAGATGTATTCCAAAAGGATGAGAAAATACATAGCCGTTGCTTGACCCGAAGATCGACCCAACCATACACACACAAAAGTAGACCAAAGTAAACGCCATACACAACACATGGAAACATAAACAGTGACTTCACTCAATTTATTATAAATCGCCATGCTTTATTGATTGCGCCAACTCAAGCGTTGCCCATTAATTTTTTAATTTAAAGTCAACGAGGTATAAATATTATGGCGTCTTTTACATAATTCATTAGTTTGTGGTTGACATATTTTCGATTACCTATTACGTCCTGACTGCCTATAATTGCATTGCCTTTGTAGCGCTCCGAGTCTTCCCACCTGGTTGAAAAAAGATATAAATTAGAGCTATACACAAGTGTTATAGAGCGAACAATGGGATTAAGCCTAGGCTCGGCCCGAAGGCCAGCGTAACCGTCATACATCTGGTGGTCACATAATAGAGTATTACAGTCTTTTTCACAAAAAAGTTGTTCCTTTAGGTAGTGCGAACTCGCTAAATGTGTCTTGAACAGTTGCCATTTGTTGCTGACATTCCTAGCACATGGACCTGCTTTTTTAACAATAATATCCCAGGTCACAACATGTTTTACTATCACGGAGACAGTGTGTCCTCCACTCTTTAGGAAACCTGGGGCATTTTCGAGACTCACAAACCACTGGCAGCTATTGCTAAAGTGTACATGAGTAGAGTGCTAAGGGTGAAGGTTGACTGTGCGTCTGCCTATTGCTGCGTCCTAATCTTCCCATTTGGAAACCCACGTACCATCTTGCGAACATGAACACCAACACCGTTCTGTGTGGTCTTGTTGATAAGCATTGTAATCACAGCTAAGCAAGGCGTTGCTCCTTGGATAGTGAATGGTTCCCGAATTTTCTTTAGCAGTCTCCTATTAAGATTGTTTCAGCAACTTTCCGTCACCATTATTTTGATGCCTTTGCCTACTTCAGACCCCGATGAGCATAAATAAACGTACATCACTGCTCAACCCATCAATAATTTGATTGTCTTCTCTAACAATGATCGATGTGAGAAGTTTTGGGACTAAGAAACCAGCAATTTCGTTATTGACATTAGCCGTTTAAGGAAACCTGGTGGACTAAGTTGACATGATACGATAAGTGAGAATTCCCTAGGCCTCGCTTGTGCGAAGAACATGTAACGGCTTGGAGTCGACCTCATGCACCCGTCTTAGTGTCAAGCGTCTGCGTCAATGCGTCTAGACGATTCGAAAGTGCAAACGCTTGTCCCTTTTTATTCTTCCCTAAAGCCGAAATTTCTTTGACCAACTGTCTTCCTCCACAGTACAGGTTCTGAGCAATGGTCAGTGCTGATTTCTGCACTGGTTTTTACTATAGGCTTCTTATGATCCCGCTAGTCTTTCATTATGAGCTCATGTTTAAGTGTCAGCTCATTTTAGTGGTGAAGACTGGTGGTAGGACTGCTGTAAGTTCTGAATTATTGCATTAAAACGTATCAAAAAGAAAATTCTAGCGAGCTACAAAGATATTCAGAAGTGGAACTTGTGATAACAGTATGGGTCACAGTTTTAGTTGTGCTGAGGCTTGTGTCTACGCCAGGTATTCGTTGTCTTGAGGTATGTTATTCTTTGCCAAAATCCAGCATTAGTCGTTGCATGAATCCTGTATGCTGGTGATCTGACAGAGTCATAATACTGTGTAATTGTCCTAAGACCCTGTATCCACGTCATAGGGGTGAGTTTCGTGAGTTGATTATTTTCATAGTGATTCAGGAAAGTATGGTATAAAGCACTAAGAGATAATTGAAGAATCAGTTGGAAGCATACTCACCTTTCCCACTTGGAGTGTAACGACTGCCGTACTTTGATTTTTTGTCAAACTCATCATGCTGCTGTCAAAACACTCACGTTGCCTCGGATTCAATAACCTCCCAGTCCTCTCTTTCGTAGCATCTCTAAACCTCCTAGGAGATAGAGCAATGGAAGCATCGCCAACTGATTGCACGACTTTGAAGACGACGCAGCTCAGAGTCCATGGTGATCAGGAAAAGTTCAACTTGCTACGGATGATTATTTAATCGTCTAAGCAAAACAGTCTCCAGCTTTGATCTAATGCCTTTATACAATGCCAAAATGTTTTTTGGGATCCTAATTGACAATAATTCAAATGATTTATTTGATGCATTGTATTGCTTTAAGTAAACTTTTTAGATAAGAGGAAGAGACGTGTTCCGAACCTCAAGCCTGACATGAAATACGATTTCCCTTGAGGATGTACCATATTGATTTACTTTAAGATAAAAGAACGTTGTATTACATCGGCTGCAGGGCTGACAGACGTCCCTTCCGATATAACTCGCCTCAAGACTACAAAAGTTAATTCCCATTTGCAGAGAATGCCACTTATTTTGTGCTCTGTTACCCAAGATTTATTGCCGTCTGTAATGGACGATTAAACCTCCTATAATTAGGACAGTGGTAAATGCTACGAAACCTAAGCCGAGTTTGGTATCAACCAACAGGATTCAGCCCAGTTAGGGACTTTTAGGTTGGCACTGAACACCTGACAAGGAGGACACCAGGCATTATGGCAGAGCAATTATTGGTATAAAGATCAACAAATGAGGTTACTTAACAGCAAGAAGGAGGAGCTGACAGTTCCGGGTCATATTGCTCCCTTTGACTCCCAGAAAATAGACAAATCATGCACTCTATAGTGGTTTTACCATCCTTTTGCAACGAGGTGTGCCAAATTTATATGCCAGAACTTAAGGGGACAAGAGGACGCCCTCACAAGGCTTGCAACTCGGTAATCTAAGCTGGTGACAATTCCTCGTGCTAATCGAACCTCGTAAGAAAGAGGGTACGTCAAAGCCTTCATTTGAGCCAATTTTCACAAAAGTATGCGAAGTAAAAAACTTGAATAATTTGTATAGCACTCTGTTTCTAGGTGCAGATTTTTGCTTCATGGCATCCGAATTCGATAAGAAGGTTGTAAAACAATTAGTCTAATAGGATTAAAAATAGATATGGAAAAACTGCGCAAATAAGGAAAGCACTGTAGTCGATATTGCAATCATCATATTCACACAGCAAGAGTGAGTAAAGGAAGAAAATTAATAATATCATTACAAAATTTAAGATAGATTATAAATTTTGAACGAGGCAGGTTAAAGCATATTAAATAGTAAACTGCAAATACTTTGTATAAAGCACAGTTTTGCAGTTAAAACGGGATTATTGTAACGACCAAATATTTTACTTTACTACACGCAATACTACTTTTAAAAATTAATATGATTTATAAAGTTGATTGTTTTGGATTAAAGCGACAACTTAATTGCTAAGTAAGTAATGCCTTTACTTAGTGCATTTTGTTTGAATCATCAGTTCTTCGCTCGGTAGACTTGACTTCATAGGTCTCGCATTGCTTTTATGTGAAAATGAATAACACTTCTGATGTTTTTCACATTGATATGCCTGATGTTCCTGGCATGGAGGAAGGAAAGAGTGATTCAGAGGAATCAAATCACAACGCAAAGACATCAGAGGTTGGTGTCGTTCTTTGCTCATAGCTGTGCGTATAGGGTTTTTTGTCTAGAGGTCCTCTCTCCGTCGAGGAGTAAGTTTGTTGTGCTAAATTTCCTCCTACGTGTTTACTTCCTTGCTAATTTTTTTGGGACAACTGGTTTAGCTGCCAGGTCTAGGTGTTGGGTACTTATTTGCTTGACCGTAATACGACCGTGTTGTTTTTAAATGGTCCCCTTGTTTTTAATGTACCCGTTGAGTGGCCTCTTTCTGCCTTTTTGAACGATCTATTTGCTGTGGTTCGGTCGTTTTATATCTGGGCTGACAACGTACAATTGTAATGAATATTTATTTATATTTCCCGTATCTCATAATGTGTTGTATGGATATATCTCCAAATATGTTATTTAGAATGAATGAGCATGTTGAACGGGTCGAAATTTGTGAGGATACCGTTAACCCTGGCCAACCAAAAGTTCGTCCTCAAGATTTCACTCTGCTCAAAGTCCTCGGAAAAGGAGGCTACGGGAAAGTAATAGAGTTGCGTTTGGTTTAATTCATCTAGGTTTTTTTGGCTCAAAAGATCACAGGTGTTGACAGTGGGCAAATATTTGCCATGAAGGTGCTCAAAAAGGCCTCAATTGTTACGAATGCAAAGGACACTGCACACACAAAAACTGAAAGGAACATACTGGAGATGATTAAGCACCCTTTTCTTGTGCAGTTGCACTACGCTTTTCAGACACCGGGGAAGCTTTATCTCGTTTTGGAGTTTTTGGCCGGTGGTGAGCTTTTTACGCAGTTGGAAAAAGAAGGTGTGTTCTTGGAGGACCAAGCAAGGCAAGTTGAGTACACTATTGTCAATCAGTATACCCTACTTATATCATCTCCCTCGTCTTCTATGTACTTTAGCTTTTACCTATCGGAAATCATCCTGGCTATCGGTCACCTTCATAAGATGGGCATCGTATATCGAGATCTTAAGCCAGAAAACATCCTCCTGGACACTGAGGGACATGTCAAGTTGACTGATTTTGGACTTTCGAAAGAACGTGTCGATCAAGACTTGACACACACGTTTTGCGGAACTATTGAGTATATGTAAGGTTGTTTGGTTAAACCTATGCCATTTTGCCGAATTCATTAATCCAGCATGGTATCTTCGACTTCGAAACCTAACGAGAACTCTCTTAATGATGGGCATGCCTGCGTCTTATTTGTGATGCTACATCTCAAGAGGTGGCCAACTTGAAACGTTACTTTTGTGATTAACATATGAGTCGAGCATCAGCAGTTACTCTTGGTCTCAGAATTCGTTCGCACATAATTTGTAGGGCACCGGAAATTTTGCTCCGACAGGGTCATGGGAAATCGGTGGATTGGTGGAGTCTGGGGACACTCATGTATGACATGCTCTCAGGAGGGGTTAGTTGTAACATTTTTTGCATTTTTTCGCATTCACCGTGATCTCTACGTCTACGGTGAGTGCAAGTTCTACAACTGTTTGAAAAGTAGGAATATTTTTCTTTATTGTACTTGTTTCTGATACACCTGAGGGTTTTCATATGATTTATCCAACAGCTGTTTTCGAGTCTTCTATATCGGCGCATTTATGCTTTCCATTGCATATAGTTTTATTAAATCGTTGTGGATTCTGACTAATTTATAATGGTGAACATTAGTATGGATGAGTCAGGCTTAGTTCAGTTTGTTACTTCCAAATATTTCCCTTGTTGTCTCGGGTTTACGTACTATTTGCGATCGCGGTGAAAGTAGCAACTTTTAGATTTCGTTTTATTAACCTAGTTGGCTTAGCCGGCCTCCTGTTGAGTTTCGTACTTATGAATATACTTCTCACTCTCCTTAATAATTGACTTCGAGGTGAATTTTCAAGGCTGGTATTTAGTCTTCCTTTTGGAGTCTTAAATTCATTTGTTGTTTACGGATGAACAGAACTTCCTGTTGCAATGTGCCAAGTGGCGCAATTCCAGGACCCACTAGCTGATTCGCATACTTCTGTAAATACATTAAAAAGACACCAGTCTTTGTAGAAATGCCAGCGAGCTTGGCATTGTGCCAACGGTACGTCCATTGTTCGGGCCGTAAATTCTTAAATGGTCTACTGGGGTGATTTTAAGCTGTTTCCCTTATCCATTGAAAAAGAATACAATGCTGATGTGTCTTGCCTACATTGCCCTATGACCCCTATGAATTCATCTCTGCGCACGTGCTTTTACATGTTCTTGTTTGTGTCACTACTGCTAACCGCAGTTGACTCATGTGTGAACATTTGTGCGATTCTGTTACTTCCATCCTCGGGCCATGGAAACGCACTTTTTGAGTTTTACCGCATTTAATCTTCCTGTATTGTACAAGGCTGCTTCTCGATGCTGTCACCAAATTGCACTTCTCTGGGACTCTCTTTTGAAGGCCATGGGTGAGATAGAACCATGAAGGTTCTGTTTGGACTCGTATTTTGGGCATTAAAATAAATTTGTGTAAATGCAAACCATATTTACGTGCACCTTCAATTGAATGATATGACCATTCTCAACTGCGTGAATTTAAAGGGTTGGAAATAATTTTATTACGGTACTTCAGGGTATCACTACGCTTATTATTTGAGGCGTCGTTTTATTCTTTACGCTACCTCTTACCATTTGTTATGTATCCATCCTCTACCATCTAAGCTGTCGTGCTTCATCCTCCTCTTTGGTAACGGATCTTTCTGTGCTCGTTTATCTACGCAGCTCACACAGGAAATTCAACTTTTATTTACCTATTTTCGTTTCAGCCGCCTTTTTCTGGAGATGATAGAAAAAAAACTATGGAAGCTGTGAGTGATTGGTCTGCTTCGATTGATGGACAAATATCTGATGCAACATTTCTCATACGTTTTATTTCAGGTGCTACGTGGTCGGTTTACTCTTGCTCCTTATCTCACCAGTGAGGCTAAGGATCTCCTCAAACGAGTAAGACCATGTCTGCTGTTTTTTACACAGAGTTATCCGTTTCCAGAAGTAGCTCAGTGTTGAAATTGTACTTGTAAGTTTCACGCCTTTGTGAAACCTTAGCTTTTAGACGAAGGCCAAATGGGCATGATTGTCGTTTCTATTGACATGATTGGAGTTTTTGCATCTAATTAGACGAATTACTGGTTTTCACCTTACTATGTACAAGTTTAGTCCTCTTGTGACAGCACTTGATGAGAACGTATCGTTTACGTTAGAGCTCAAGCAGAACTTTGATTACAATTTTCTGTCAAGGGCGTAAGTACAGATTGGATAAGCGACATCATAGGGAGATATTTATATTCAAGAATCAAAAATTGATGCTTCTTTTATTCCAGTTGCTGAAAAAGACAGTTTCAGAGCGTTTGGGCTCGGGACCAACAGATGCCGAGGAGATCAAGCAGCATCCTTTCTTTCAATCGATCGACTGGGATCAGGTGTATGCACGGCAGCTGGAGCCGCCATTCAAACCGAGTCTCACCTCAGAGACTGACGTTTCTCGCTTTGATCCTTTGTTCACAAATGAAAATCCTGTTGAATCACCAGATGACGGTGTCCCGATCTCCGCTTCTAATTGTGATGTTTTCGATGGTTTCACATACGTTGATCCACAAGTTCAAATATCAATGGTTCGTGATTCGTGGGCTTTTGATGGCTTCACTAACTTACGGCGGCGCAGGCGTTCGGGAATTTCCATTGGCAGGTGTATTGACTGGGATAGGAGATTTGAATAGTTACCAATTTTTAATTTTTCATCTAATTAGTGCGATGTGGAAATGCTTTTTATTTCAGTTCTCCTGCTTGTGCTGGTAATTCAATGATACCAGTTCCGACAATTCACGGTATTCCCGCCCCCAACTTTTGTGGTAGCATGAATCAAGGCGGCAGCGGTGGGCCTGGTCAACCCTTTGTTTTTGCGGAAGACTTCGAAGACATGGAACTTGGTTCTGGACAAGGCGATCTCGTCGCCCCTCATTCCGTCTTTCCCTCACAGCTCATACCCTCAGATCCAACTCGATTTTCTCGGAATCCGCGGGTTCTTTCTTCCAGCCCTCGAGGACTCGACCATGATTCTTCTTTTACGTCTACCAACTTCCGCCAACATTGAATGTAAAGGGAATTCCACCTTTCTTCACCCATCTACCTCCCTGCCTCTGACGTTGTGCCAATTGTCTTTATTCCCTGCCACTGGAAAGCAGAGCGTTTAAATCCACATTGCATCTATATTTATCACTTGACCCTAAGTTGTATAGACTCCAAAAGGTTGAGTTACAGTAAGTATTGTCAGCTTGTAAACGAACAGGCTTTTGCGTGAGGACTTCTTGTAATGACTCTGCTGATTATTGATGTTTTACAAATGATGTCGATTCACTGGAATGGTGCACGCTTTAGTCGTCATCATCATTCTTAGTGCATTGTAGAGCTGCATTTTATTCAAGTTGCTGTATCTTTGTCGGAAACTCAAGCGCACTTCATGTAACACTAATCTAGCTTTCCAGCATCCTTCTTCCCTATCCCATTTCCTCTTTTCATTCTGTAAAACTGCTTGTGGCGTAGGTGTTAAGGTTTTGCCTTGTCTCCTTTTTCAATTGGCCTTCCACGACTCTCTGAAGCCTGTTTTTTTATATTATCGACTACCACTAAATCTTGTAATCAAGCAGTATTCATTTAGATTGTTCCCGCAATGAATTACAATAATAATGCATACGCTTAACATTTTCTCTTATTTTACAAACTTTTGTCTTTGGCTGTTTGTACGCTCCTGCCTGAGTCATCTTGAAGGTCCGAACCATCTAGTTGGTAATGGATTCATGTACCTTTTTTATTTAAGTACAGCTATTATATACAGTGTGACATGAAGTGTCTAATTGCTGTTTGACTGACCATCTTAGATGACGTGGGAAGTTATTGATAGGTCTATCGCCATCTTGATATGCTCTTCGCTGTTTCGCGACCACGCTGCTATAAGACCATATTTATGCGTTTTCGTTTTCACTTAATTTGGGCGTGTAATGATGACGGCAAATAAAAATATAATATAGGAGCAAAGAACGATGACTCTTGGTGTGGGGTGCCTCTGTTTTTTCGTATTGCTCCGTGAATAGTGTTTTGCGGAGTATTGTCCCTTTGATTTTCATTTAGTACTGGCTCCAAATGTCTAAACGAAGTCATTCCGACCAGCAGTCCTCTAGTGGTAGTGGGGAGTCCATTCCAGGTGCCTCGGCACCCAAGCGCCCATTTCTTTCCGGCTCCGAGCTCGTTCTCTTCAGCCGTGTTCGCTCTCTCGAGGAGTTGGATAAACGCACCTTACAATTACAAAATAAGAAGCTTTATGAGGCCCTCACCGAGAAGCGTTCTGCTATCGGTGATTTGAGGCAGCGAATCGAGCAATTAGAAAATAGGCAGGCCAAGGATGATGCTCTATTATGCGTGGTTAATCGCTACTGGAATCAGGTACAAATTCCTCCTGATATATTCGTTTTGTTGCGCATCAACATCATTAACTAATATATTTAGTACTGAACTTTAACAAGAAGTCGGTTAACATCGTCTTCCATTTGTTCTCTCAACGCTCCATTTTGACAAATTATCCGGTCCTGTTTTCTCCCTTTAGCTGGATGAGGACTGTCTGCTTCTCCTTCAACGTTGCGAAGTTGACGTGGATGAGAAAGGTTTGTTTGATTTTTATCACGGGCCTAGCTCCATTCTGGATATCGAATGCAGAATATTAAAAGCAGGATGTTTAGCCATGATAAATCCTAGGCCGCATAACTTGCATTGGTGGTATGGGATTCGTCATAAAACGGCATCTTTTCGTTTGCAGTTTCGAATTCAGCTGAATCATTCCTCAAGCAATTGGCTTCCTGGGAAAAGGAAGAAGTTCCTGAGAAATTACAGCAGCGTGTCCATTTTTCGAAGCGTATTATCGCCAGGTTATTGACTTCTTTTGAGAGGTAATTCTTTTTCTGCTCGTTTTTTACGTGCAGCAGCTCTGAAGAATTTGATGTCGCTCATTTTTGTTTTCTGTACGACCTCCTTGAGCTAGTATCCAAAGGCCTTTTGCAGTTAGGAAAGGAGGTGCTTTTTATCACCGTTTGTCTACCTGGTCTGTTGCGATCTTAGGTGTTTGAATAACAAAACCTGACTGATTGAAAACATGGTCACTTATTATGCGTGCCTGTTTTGCGGACATGAGATCCTCTGTCCGAATATGAGTATTGCTAGTCTTGAGTTTGATACAGGCTGCATTTCTACCGAAGTCAAGATACTACCGAATATCCTATTCTTTATGGACGTATCAATGACCGTTTATTCTTCCATTTTTTACCCGTACATGTTTATACCGGTCGATGAAAAGGTGGAAATTGATTTCCCGTTTAGCAATCTGACGCTAGCCTGTGGTGGATGCAACTGATTTTCTTGTTAGACTTTTCGTTCATCAAAGCCGTCTTCGCTCCCTGCTTGTGGATGAGTTGCAGTCGGACAGGATTATGAAGGCGGCTGCCGCCACCACAGCATCCTCCAAAACTTCATCTCGTTCCGAGGGACCAATAGAGGAAGAGAATCTAGAAAAGTCCTGCCTTGGTATTACTGCTGCAGCAGACGATGGAATTAAGACTGATAGCGGCTCCACCTTGTCCTCGCTCGAAAAGGTGATCGCTGCACTGAAGGAGGAGATCGCTACCCTCTCCTCCGAGAATGATCGGCTCCAATGTCTCTGCACGAGCATGCATGCCAATCATCGGCAGCAAAGTCTCCACGTAAACGCTTCATTTTCTGTGCATTGGGTGGTGTCGGCCTTACCTATTATTCGTTTTAAATGCAATTTTTTGGCGCTTACCTTTTGCTAAAGTGCGGTTGATGATTATTTTTAACATCCTGATCAAGATGTTCACAACTGTGGAGGTTCCTGTGTTCACATCGCAGCATTAATGTAGGTTACTTGTGTAACGCGAAGACATCATTGTTTCCAATTAGTTCTCCAATCCGCTGCAAATCGTAAAAATGGCATGAAAATTATCTAGCTCTGGGCCACGTAACTGAGGTATAGATGACCGCTTTTCAGTGTCACTGTCATAGCCGTTGAAATATTCCTTAGTGTATACACTGGAACATCCTTCCTGTGCAAGTACCCAAACTATTACCGGTGCCTGTGCTGAGTTTGTTTCATCGTCAGGAGCTCGTCGTAGTGCTTTCTTTGATTTGTTTCGTCAATAGTCTGTTCCTGTTTTCATAGCTTAAAAATTCAATTCCTTAAATCTGCCCTGTTTGTTACCATCTGATACCTGTTCTAAACACTTAGCTCAGATCCCTTGATGGTAATTTCGTTCCCTCAGTAGTGTTTAATTTGATTGTCTGCGTTTTGCAAATGCGTTTAATCCACTTTTCAGTTGAATTCTCCAATTGTGGATTTGAAATTTGACTAAATCATTGATAGCAGTGTTTTGTCGTGGATATTAACTGAGCGAGAACTGTATTTGTGACGAGTACAAGATTGTTACAAATATTTGGCTCAGAAAATTTAACAACCAGTTATTCGGAATGCCGTGTGCTTTCATGTAATCGTTAACTGATTTCTTGGCTTCCTGTACCTTTCTATTCGGTTATGCTACCAGGAATATCCCTTGAAACGATAGCCTAGTGCGGCATTCAAATCTAAACTTATCCACTTTATCGCTTCCATAGCATTCGGTTTTTGATAATTTTCAGGTTCGTGAGTTACAAGATCAATGTCAGGCGAACTCCGACGCGGCTGATGAGTGGAAAGCGAAGTATGAAGACCTTGAGTACAAACTCCAGCAGTCTACTGCACAACTTGCCATTCTCGATCATCGTCTTTATGATGCTCAGCAGTCGAAGAAGATTCTTGAGGAGGAATTGGCTGCTTTTAAGGGTACATCAGGCTCTCCTGGAGGTGAGTTTTGGTTCCTCTTTCTCATTCTTTACTTATTGTAAAAAGATAAACACTTTGAGGTCAATGTGGCAATTTTTTTGAGAATTTAACTCCGCATAAGTGCGAGGATCTTCTACTTTGACAACAGCTTAGGTGTTCCACACACAGTCTCTTAAACATTTGTGTTACAATCTATGAATCCTCTTAACCTTCTGCTTGTCTTCTTCGAAGGTGCTAGGTTCATTAGTCTTCCACTGATAAAGCTGACACAAATACGGGTACTGCGATTCACCTGAACCGCCGCGTGATGTGCCTGTTTGTGTACTCTAGCCCTCATTCTTCATCTGAGGTGCACCCTCACATGCCCAATGCATAGGTCCAAGTGCAAACGTCTTGAATAATCGTGCAGGTGCTAATATGGTGTCGTAGCATGAAAATTAAATTGTCGTTTGTCTTTTCAATACCACAGATATCTATGTTTGCAGTCACGCAGCAATGCCGATAGGTAGTCATATGAACAGGGCAGAACTTTTTTTATTGTGATCAAGCCTTTTAAGTAGAAACAGCGCGCCTTGACGAACCTTGGTCCACCTCCTCTTAGAAGGCACAGAGGAGACAAGCGGAGTTCAAGGGGTGACAAAGAGTAAATACAATGACATGCTCTGCGAGTTGGAGGAACAAAGAGAACTGGCCTCCAACCGTCTTACCGAGCTGGAGCGTCTTCAACGTCAGCACGAGGAGAAGGTGGCTGAGTGTGCGAAGCTCAGTATGCAGGTCGGTGATTCGCACTCGCGTGCAGATCTTTTGTGTGTGTGTACTTTTGCTCGTTATAATGTTTCTCACGGGTTCCTTCGGCTTTTGTTCTGTTCATAGGATGAAAAATTTGCACTTTCGGTGATAGTCGTCACTAGGCCATTTGAATAATGCGCTTATGATGGTTCAACATTGATATTTATGCTGTCCCAATGCATTGCATAGAGACTTTCGTCCCAGGCTCCCATTTATTTTATTTATTGTATTCTGTCAATAACCCAACCTAGGGCGAAGTGCCCTCCAAAGCATACTTTAACTGTTCTCGGCTTTATTGGTACATTCGCACTTATCTTCTTGGTCACGTCTGAATGTGCTCTTATTAAGGCACGATGTCTCACATTACTTGTTTGCTCATTGCATTTCGTGCATTTCAGATAATGTATTTAGTGGTTTAACTGAATTTTTGACTAACTGTGGGGATTTTGCCCAGGTTAATGATCCACCAGAGCAATTAATACACGACTCACCAAGCTACAAGTCATTGAAGGTCCAATTCAACATTCTCTACAATGAGGTCAAAGCTCTGCGGTCTCAATTGGAGGACTCCCGCAACATGATTCAAACTATACGCAATGCTCATCTTAAACAAATTGAAGAAATGGAGGTAAGTCCTTATCGCAAGTCACGTGTTGGATGAAGGTGTGAGGTGAGTCCAACCTGTCCTATAGACAGGTCGAGGTAGATACAACTCAGCGAGTGTAAGCTTGGTTGCGCGAGGTCATTGATGGTCCCTCCCTCTTTTGATTGACTGAGCGACTAGCGTCTAGCATTCCCGGTGCTTTAGCAGCGTACGCGCTTGTTAAGCTGCTCCCATAGCGTGTGCGCGCGCGTGTGCACGCCTACTCTTGAATGAGAAATGCGCTTACGCCACCGCGTATCTGGTACACTCCAGTCCTTGCTCATGAGATGTGCTATCTAACGGCAAATTGCCGATGGCACTCCCAACAAACATCGTCTTTCCACATACAGGTTACAAGTTACGTAATGATGCTGCATTTCCCTTATTCTGTCACCATTATTGCTGTTTTCTGGCTTTGTCGACGCTGTTAACACTGCACTTTATGAGTTAGTGATCCACATGGTCATCTCATGTCAATCGTCTGATTTTCCACCGGCATTGCATTGTAAAATTGTCTACCTATCGTTGAGTTTTGCTGGTCATCAGTTTTGCCAGTGTAAGTACCTAAATTGAATTGTATCGCTATCGACTACCAATCGCCCTTATGCAAACCTTGTATTTTTTTTGTTAACGGAACCTTAACACTTTTAGGCAAATGAAACGGCCATTTTGAATCAAATGCGTGGTGAGATGCTAGCACAAGAGGAGCTTTACTCCAAACTTCGTCGAGAATTCGAGATGATTGAGGCCGATTTCAAGCAGACAGTAGCGCACAATGAGCAAGCGGGTCCCATCAACAGCGAAATGCGAAGCCTTATAACCACACTGCAGCTGCAAAACAAGCAGCTGAAAAATGAGGTTGTCCGCTATCGACGGAAGTCAAAGGAAGCCGCTCATGATTGTCAAATGGTTTGTGCTGAGGTCTTTATTTTTGACGTCCAAAAGCTCATTACACTGATTTCAATCAGTGCATTGTGAAACGAATGCAGAAATTTCCGGATTACCGAAAGTCTTCTGGTATCGAGATTGCACTGCGCATTATTCTAGGATTCCAAGAATTTAACGCGAAATACCACTGATAGCCTTTTAGGTTATTGCCTTGATTTGATTATTCAAAACTTTTGACCTCTGCTTTTACAATGTTTACCTTCTCGTATAGAAACAATACGGTAATTGTTTGGTAGTTATTTTAGGTGATTATGCTACTGTAAATGTTTTTTTTTGCTTAATTGTTGAACATTGAATTTAACTTTTGACTATGATTCATATCGTTTATTTTGGTGCGCTTTAGATAGCCTTAAAGTTTTTCCTCAATAATTCTTACATTTCAGAGTCTCTGTTCTATAATGGAGTATTACATATTTTGGAGCACTCACTTTACATGCAGGCCACAAATGAGTTAAAATCCACTGAGGAGGAGCTTTCTCGCGCCAGAGCATCGTTGGCTGAAGCCACAGCCGCAGTGATCCAACTTACTGATGAACTAGCTTCATCAAGCCCGACGCCATCCACTGCTATCCCTTTGGAACCTCCTCAGCCCTCAGATGCGCCTTCCAAGAAGCGTGATCGAGAGAACGATGCGGAAAGAAAAGGAGCTGATGAAGGAGTCGCCTCCAGTCGTTCTAGCAGTACTGAATCTGCGGCATCTCATAACGTTAGTTTCTCTTGGTCTTGTAAACCGTGATTTTTTCCCGTAACTTTCCTTTCACCTCGGCGTTTTCATCTTCGGAGTTATTCAAAAGTCCGTTCGTGTGCTGTAGGCCTTATTTGTATGGACACATCAGTACTATCACTGATATGATGGTTTTGTTTTTCCACCTTCAACGGGTTATGGCCATGGTTGTGTAGCTACTTTAGTAAACATATTTAACGCAGTATCAATCGATTGTTCACTGTCCGACATTTTGGGATTTGAATGTCGACCAAGAAAGTCGCATTTTGGGGTTATTTTGATATCCTCAGTCGTTTCCGTGTTACTAGTTTTTTGGGACTGGTCGATTGAGGAAGAAACTTTGTGCTATGATTGCTATTACCAAACCCCCATCCTCTCATTATTGTCCTTTCAGTTGAACCTACAGACATCGAGTTATGCTTTCACTTGATGCTTCAATCACCAACTTTACATTTTTCCGCTGCTCAATTTTATTGCTCTCTCCTAGGAGGGTTCGTTGAAAGATAGGAAAGGCTTGTCTTCCTCCCATTCCCCCGAGGAAATCATTCGTGATCTCCGTAATCAATTAAAGTAAGTTTCGCATTTTCACTTCAATGGTCTTAGCAAATATGAACAAATAGCAAATTAACCATTAATATGATGGCTCATAAGTTCTTATATTTAAGTTCTTTTCTACACATGCTAGTTTCAAGAATTTTTAGTGACCAACTGTTAATGACCAGAGCACTCGCCTTCTTCTTTGTAAGCTGGTTAAACTACTCGAATTGCGCCTTTTGGTATTCCAATAAATCTTGGCTTATCTAGCAGTGATCGTAACGTATGTTCACTTTGTTCACGCTTTTTTCTAAGATCTGTCAATTTTGCGGTACTCTGAGTCTCATTTTGCTATTCAAAATCCTACTTTCTTGAATGGTGTTTAGCATTGTTCTGTGAATCATGAGCTGTATCATGCGGTTTGATTGTTTCTTAGTTTCATTATCCTCCATGTTAAAATCATGCAAAAATCACGGATTGAGATATCACGAGTTCAATACTGCATTTTTTATTCACAGAATTTCACAAGAGGCTGAGAAAGAGATGTCTGTATTACTGAGCATGTACAAAGTTATTCCCAAGGATCAGCGTGATAAGGCCGCTCTGCTCCAAGTTGAAGCAAAGCTGCGTGCTGAGCTCTCTGAGGCGCGATCTGAACTGGCCAGCTTGCAATCGGTCAACGCTGATTTGCAAACTCGCTGTGCTCAACTTCAACGAGAGTACCGCATCGCTGCCTCCTCCACTTACCCTCTGAAGAGGGAGTTTGAAGAGCAGGCTGATCTGCCAGAAAAAAAGGTGGCTACTGAGAGCAGTTCCACCGCCCACTCTGAGGAGCCCTCACCAAGGGAGGGGTGTGGTATTACTAGTTCTGGTACGGTGGGGCCTGCCGCCACCAATTCCTCCCATCAAGCATCTCCTCTGTCGACTTCTATCAGTACAAATGCGGTGTCTCCAGAGTGTGGTGACAAATCAGCATCTGTCATGTCTACCCTGCCGCCTCCTCCGCCGCCACCGCCACCAACACCTCATCCGCTCATGCCACCGGTTCCGAGGAAGACTTCAAATCTGGACGAAGATAAAAAGGCCTGGCAGGTTGCCGAACTTCAGCAGGAACTCCAACACACTCAGCGTCGTTGTCATACACTAGAACAGCGCGTCAGTACTCTCCAACAGCATCTCGTCACTGCTAAACAGCAGGAGGACGTCATGTTGAAGGAAATGGAGGCTAGTTAATTTAACCTTATTGCGTGACTGTAAAGGATTCAAGTTTTTGGCAAAATAGGCTTAAATGGAGTCGAACTGTCAATGGTGACTTGTGTGTTATAATATTTTACGTTGTGTTTATGGCTTTGTGCATGTCATCGTTGCAATCCCTTTACATGCTTCATCAATTTTCTGCATTGACCTATCTTGAGGACATAAATGAAGCGTGCCTATAACACAGACACTTCAATGGTCATGCCATTGCGGTTTCAGGTAACAGGCCAAGCATTTGAAGATGTGCAAGAGCAGAACTCCCGTTTGTTGAAGAGTCTACGAGAAAAAGATGATGCAAATTTAAATCAAATGACAGAGTGGATGAAGACTAGTCAGTTGGCTCGTTTGTTGAAAGAGGAGAAGAAGCTTTTGGATGAGCAAGTGCGTCTGATGCAGGCGAAAATAGAGGCCCTCACTCGCGCCATTCAGAAGCAGGAAGACAAGGTGAATTGCTCCATTTTCGTCGCACACTTTTACTTTCCGCTACTCACTATTGCCATCACTTGCTTATGACGCATCTGAGAACATGGTGAAATTTCATAAGAGCCTACAGAATGGAAAAGGTGGTACCAGCAGAGCTAAGCGCCCTCAGCATGGAGATTGGTTTGTGAGAATCTGTAGTCTTGGATGGAAGCATATGCAGTCGACATGAATAGCAACATGCAACGTACATTAGTGCCTTAGTTCAGAGAGGCAGCGGTGTAGGACTTCGAATTACTGTCATCACTCTCCCCATACTGTTGTCTCTTGGTCATAAGGATACTTTTGAGTTAGTCTTGCTGACTTCTTAATTTCTCTGTACCGTTCCTTCTATTGTTACGATCAAACAACTGGCAACTGTTAGATGTGGTGCATGTATCGCGTACACCGTGACACAGTGTAGTGTCCCGTCCAGCATACAATCCCTTTGCACTACTTCGGTGCACTGTTTTGTAGAACACACAATTCCGTGCCCAAGCGACAGTAAGGTTTTTGGAGCGTAAAATTCAAGAGCCAGTGGAGGGCTTTGGTTGGTTCAGCTGGAAAGCACTTCCATGGGATCTCAACAACTTTGGCTTTTTGATCGAATTACATCTCTTAAGGCTACTTATTTATTAGTACAATGCAGTGCATAGCTTGATTTAAGCATCTCCAGTCATTTTTTGAGTTCTTTTTGATTGCTTTTAGGCTACTTTGTACTGAAGCAGGGGATCGGAAACGCTAGGTTTCCGGGCGTTGACGATTTGGCGTCCTCGGTTTAAGGATAATGTGCATGAGCCTAATTTACTGACGGAGTTTGGCTGTTATTAGTAGTTTTTCGTCTGACTTATAAAAGGAGCTATGGCTTATGGCTTCAAACTTGTATGATCTATGTGCAGGTCTATTAATTTTAACGCAGATAAAGCACGTGCGTACTTTAATTTCGATGCAGTTATTTGCACGTTTACTACAAACTACCACACCAATTAGGTGGAGTAGATGTGATGGTGCAATAGTGCGGCTTAAGTTTCGTATTGTTTGGCACGAAAGTCGTTTGTATTCCAGCCGAGTATTTTGTAGTCTACTGGGGGTTCTCAATACTCTTTACAATTTGCGAGCTATGCTCTAGTATAGGATTTCATTGTGCAAGTATTTAACAACAGTTGAGGTCTTTTTTTCAACATCGTGGCCTTACATCCACTTTTAGATGACTTTGTTTACGATTTCCATTCTGCCTTGATCGTATCCTTGCGACTAAATGCGTTGTTTCCAATTCGCTTAAAATGTAGCAGTTAACTGCAGGTCTAAGTGTCGCGGTGGGCGTAATGGGGTACACTCTATCCTCTTTTTTATATTCTAACGTTAGGAGCATCTCCTGCTGACAAATCTGGAGACGCTGGAGAAGGAGGCGGCTTCACGTCAGCAGTCACAGGAGGCCTACAAGCGTAAGTCGGTGGAATGTCAACAAAGAGAAGAGGATTTGCGTGTCACTGTGCAAAAGTACCTCGCCCAACTGAACGAGGCGCAGACCTCCGTGCAGGAGAAGGCCTCCGCCTACGAACAGGTCTCCTTCCGCCACCAAAGACTTCAGGTTAGTTGCTTTCTCCGTCCGATCTCCCTCTCTCTGTATCTTTGGGTCATTCTTACTGCAATTAGAGACCACCCACTTTTTGGCTTAGTCTATAAGATTTCACACACAAATTGATGAATGATTTGGACTGGCTGTTATCATTCAAGAGGTAACTGGACTGGTTTTATTCTTCAAAGCCAAGACTTTCATCCAGATTTGTGTCAAAGATATGACGCTTCGAAGTAAGTTTGTGTAATCAGTTCGTTTACTGCTTCTGTCTAGACTGCAGTACAAGATTACTTTTCCTCAAAATTTAGGAGGAATACACCACACTTAAACGCAAATATGAACGCCTACGGAAGATCGAACAATCGCACAACGCTGATGAGGTTCTTTTAGCCGAAATTCAAGATTACAAGGTATTTAAAGTAGTTCTCTTGCAATCGCCGCCCTTTTGCTCTTTTGCTTTGCAAATCAACTGGACCTTTTTGTAGGCTTCACTGGTTACATATTTATTTCCCAATTATTTGTCTTGGAAGTATAGATACTAAGCTAATATTGTTCTTTCTACTTAATACTATTACTTTTGGTATGTTAAAGTGAATATTTCTTTGCTTCCGGCAATCGTGTCACACAATCTCATGGATAATTAGTTGAATTATTCGTTGATTGCAGGTTGGCGTTTCTCGCTAATCCTGAATTTTCGTTTTTTTGCGATTTGTCTAGCCTATACAGTGCATGAGAAATCAGACAAGTTTATGTACAGCTGATATTCACTGCTCTATACGTACATGTTTCTTGAGATTTTTAGAATCGAACTGTTTCTTTACACGCCGATACTTACTGAAAAGTATTTGGTGAAAATTGGTCAGGTTTACGGCCTTTTAGTCGCGTGCTCAAACTGTCTTTTGTATAGTGCTTATCAGTTTAATATTCCTGCGGATGCATTGACAAGCAAATTGGCGGACAAGAAACTAACTCTTGATAGTTGAGGTTCGCAAAAGTTCATTGCACATCACTTAAACCTTTTGTGCACAAGATATAAGCTTGCAGGTACTCATTTGCACCATTGATCAACTTAGCTGTTATATGACCTTTAATGTAGTCCACATGCGTGTGGAGCAGCGTCGAGTTTTAGATGCGTCGTTCTTGGCTCGATTTCATCTTGTTTGTTTGAGATGTGTAACAGTCAGTTGTTGTTCCAGGTAGTTTGTAGTATTATAGACACTCTCTCTGCTTTCCAACTGGTGTAGGAGCAGCTGGCCTGCCCAACCTGCAAAACGCACAAGAAAGACGCCATTCTGACCAAGTGTTTCCATGTTTTTTGCCTCAACTGCCTGAAGACGCGCTACGAGACGCGCAATCGCAAGTGTCCCAAGTGCAATGCCACCTTCGGGGCGAACGACTACCATCGCATTTACCTCACCTGAACCTTCTCCATTTCCTTCTCCCCCTCTCGTTCTTGTACAGGTCCCTCTTACATGCGTGCATCCTAGATTCAGTATCGATATTGTTGAAGCTAAATTGTATGCAATTTTGTTTTTAACGTTCAAATTAAACGTGTATTCAGTATATTTCGTTGCGCTTTACGTCTTCATTTTTAATGAGTTTTCACATGCGACTTGCGTAAAATCACTCAATAATACGGTGTTAATAGACCACTAGATTTGATTTCGATTTTTATTTGAGGTGATACTAGTCGCCATGTCGCAGAGACTCGACTTTGATTGCGATGAATATTTTAACAGGCCTAAATTGATGTAAAAACGTCCCGGAATACACGGTACATCAATGCTTGGCGAAAGTGGATGTTGACACCACTGTCTTCGTTATGGATTGCCTGCCTGGTGCACTTGTTATGCTTTCGGCTGCGTAGCTTATGGGACGCATCCAACTACTATGAATCGGTTATTTTGTAGATGCAGCAGCGTCTGACTATTCAACATAGAATTGACGAGGTCAGATTCATATCGCTTGTGCCTTGCAAGTTGGAGTGCTTTGCTGTGCTATTGGCCTCGAGCACGTTGCGTTTTTCTCTATTCAGCTCCCCTACTTGAATAACTAGAGTAGAAATGAGTATTGCTGCAATCTTTGATGAATTATTTGCCTCAGTAGAGCCAAACTTATTGATAGGTTAGCATACGATTCTAAATTATCACACTGATTTCGATTATTCCAACATTCATCAATGTGGGCTGATTCGTCGCCTAGTATCGCCAACAGAAGGTAGGTCACAAAAAGTGTAACACTAATTAGGTGAGTTACTCATACCAACTATCAAACTTATCATGTAATGGACGGGAACTCCAAAGCTGGGATATAGGGGTGATTACGCTTGAGAATAGGGAGTGGTTGGATGACTGACGATGAATAGTAGTTCAGTGTATAGCGAATGCAGGAATGTGTGAGTGGTCCATGTGAAGGCTTAAAAAGGTACAAAAAGAAGGAGTGCATAAAGTTTGCACGCCACCGTGAATAGTGTAAGTGTCTTATTGAATTTTTCCAATGGCCGGAATGGAGGTTGTCATGATGTACACAAAGCTCCATGCAAGTGCAACAAACGTCAGCAAACTATGAAGTCATCTTTGGAGCAAATAAGCATTGAGTCTGATTATAAAATTACGCTTAAACTCAGACTGATCCAAAACCGGCCAGGTGAGAGTGCTCTTTGTGTCATCTCAAGAGAGTGCGCATTTTGGGGCCTTTTTTACCCAAAAGTTTGTGATGATGCCTTAATTCATCATAATTAAAGTCATTTTCATACTTTGTAGCCGCTAAAAGTAGGACAGTGAAAACGATGTGATTAAGTCCGAATGTCATTCAGCCGAAAATAGCATTTTGTATTTCCTTATGCTCCAATGCAGCAACTCTTAAGTATCGATGGGTTTCTTTGCACAGTACATAACAATTTTGTTTCGTAAAATGTTCCTATTTGTTGTGAGCTCCTTAGCTGACGAGTAAGTCTAAATAGATTCGCGACTTAGGAGTACGATGGACGGCCTTCGTGTATGTATGGTTGAAGCACCCACTAAACCGTACATCAAAGCAGCGTCTGTGGCTAAATAACACCGCTGTTTAATAGACTATTAAGTAGTCATGAGGTAGCGGTAACAGGTTCAAGAAGCCCATACGAGTCCTAAAATGCAATTCAATCAAAACACATGGTAAAAGCTGGATCTTCTCGCTAAGTAATGGGCGGCAAAGAGGTATCTACTGACATGCATAGTTTTTAGAATATTAAAATGACACCTCAATTTCCGTTTGCAATAAGACGCTCTGTGTGTGATTTTATGTGCTCCAAATTTCTGAACAAGAAAAAGCGGTGCAACCATCTGACACCGTTTGGACCTCTCTTAATTCCACAGACAGGATTTCTTAGTTTATACGTGCGCCAATCTAAATTGTTGATTCATAGCCTTAAAAAATTTCAGCTTAAGTTGTTTTGATTAATATAAAATATTCACATACCATAACAGTCTTCGTGCTCCTCTTCTCAACTACTGTAACTTCTAACTATAACTTTTCACTCTCGCCCGACATCAAATGGTGCACACTTTTTATAGTAACAAAAATTGGAATTTGAAAGCCCAGTTTTTAGAGTCAATTTGTCACTGTAACAAACGGCATCATTACATGTGCGGTATTTTTGAACTACATCGGTGAATGTGCCTAAGAATTCACTCTGATATCGAATAGGATGAAACCCGACGGCAAATCCGAATTTATGACAAAACTCAACTGGGTTTTTTAACTGGTTCTACGGCTTGTGACTAGGTTTACGTTTAATGAGTGTACAGGGTGGATCGCGGCGTTGCCTGCAGGTGCCACATCGACGACAACTGAGTCATGGCCAATGACTCACTGTACGCCTTGGTTGCATCCTAACGACAAGACTACTAATTAAGGCAACTGGTAAACTAATAACTTTGTTAATTAACCCCACTTAGTCTATTTATACCCACAATGTATTTTGGCGATGTAGTGTTTTAGGCGGCACGACTGCTCGTACACTAGTTTGCTGTGGAATCGGGTCACCGCACCTTCATTGGTGCGACCACCTCTTGCGACCTGCGTTCGCAGCTTCTGAATGTGACACTACTTACAAGTAGTAAATATACTTGTTTGTAAACGTGTACATTACGGAATACCTTCATTTGAAGCCATTAGAACTCTCTACTTGGCCAGCTTTGATTAGAGCCCGGGGCTTAAGTATAGATCTCCTTTGAAATGTATTTCCTAGATAGGCACCAAACAAGCCCTTTGTTCCCAATGTCCAAGTGGACAATTTGGTATGTTTGAACTCAAGGCTTTGAAATGTGAACATGTAAATTGGAGTGCTGCTAACAAATCAGCATTTTACCGAAAATATTAACCAACAATAAACTAAAAAACGGCAACTATACATAAACGAAGGTTGTCTATAGTGAAAAAATATTTCAACCTTGTTTGTGTTGTTGAAATTGACTTTTCTGAGTGCGTATTCACCGTGACACTGCCCGATAATTTCTTCTAAGCATTTAGTTGCACATCACGAATATGCGTTATATTTCAGAAATTCACAATCCTTTGAAGAGAACAAAAACTTCCCAGAGCAGGCGCTCAGTATGTCTAGAAGGAAGATAGATGGCCGTATTCAATGGAACTACCATTCAATTTCTGAGTCGCCGCTGACTCATCGCACTGCCAAGGGACCACAGCCAGCGCTTGATGTTAAAGTGGATTGAGCCAAATGCCAGTTTGTATTGTCATTTTGTCATCGTCGGCATGCGGGTGAGTTTTCGCCTTATTCAAATGGACCTCTAGTTGAGTTGTACTTTTTTAACAACTATTTTCCTTCACGTGAGGATTGTTAATAGACACAGTCAGATTATATTGCATTGATCTTAAGAAGCATCAGCTATAAAATCTTTAAGGCCCCATGTTTCACCTTCGTCTGGGTAAAACTTTGCAATTGCGTCTAGATGGATAGCCGTGCTGCCAATCATAGCCCACAGTCACCGATACTGAAAGGTTCTCACGACCAAGTGTAAAAATGTACGAGGCAGACTAACAAGTGGCCGTAAATTTGAAAAATAGCGTAAAACCATTACTAATAAAAAAAGTTTATGCGGCTCTACAGCCTAGAATTCTTTAACAACGGCAACTTTGTCGAACACTACCTCTGTCGCCATGAAATTTTCGTGTTAAGTGGGTTCATCGGTGTACATTTAAGGTGGACTGACACTTCGAAGTATGCGAAGTTAATGAAAACTTGCCTTCAAAGTTGATTTTTTAATAACTCCATTTGGTTATAAGCCCTTCCGTTTGAGATGTTTCGTGAAATTGCATTCTTAATTATGTGACCCTAACTTCTCAAATGCAAAATTACTAGCAATAAGTTCTCACATATAATGCAAGGGTCGGAAGCGTAAGGTTCTGAGTCTCTTGTAGTTATAATAATAATAATGTTCACTGTTTGCATAGATGGAATTTCATAATAAATGTGCAGAAGGGCCAAGGGATCATGGACCTAGGCAGAGGAACGCCACAAAGTAAAAAAAGAGTTGGTGATTAATCTAAATTTATTCAGTTAAGACTGGTTCGAAAAGATCTCATAGATGGGTTTTTATTGAACCTTAGCATAATTAAGTGACATTTTTCAATCTATATCCGACACTTATTTCTCATTAACTTTAAATTGGTATAGTGGGCAAAACCTTGACCTGGCTATACTGCCAGGCATTTCGATGGTAGAGACGTCTTCGTCTTCGAGACATTTTTAAGAGCCTATTTCCTTACTAACCAAGTAGGTAATTTTTTTTGGGCAAACAGTTTACAACGAAAAGGAAGTCATTCCAAAAGTTAACAGTAGAAATCGTTATAATAATAATGCGATTCATTCTGACTTGATTGTTACAGGTGATTAATTTCTCCGGTCGCACGTAAACGTAGGGGTCATCTCATGCGTATGAGCATAGTGACTACCTATTTTTGGACTTCCGATCCAAACTGCCGGCTGCCTTCGGGTGAATGTGGAGCACAAGGCGTTCCCAAGGGGCATGTAAAATGGTCAACCTTAAATAAAATTTCATGCTCCAGAAGCATGCTATTTTTAGTGAATGGTTCATATGCAAGCATCTGCTTCAATCTCAAAAGGACCTCTTTCGATTCGCACTGTATATTTCTCCTTCTAATCTACGATCATTAATACTATTTCTACATGGAATCCGAGATGCACGCTTACTATTACAAGTAAATAATCCGATTTTTAGCATCGGATTGTCTGCAAAGCTTGACAAACGATTCTGGAGCTTATGCCTCAGTAACTACCTTCACTTTTGAACAACTCTTCAGTATTTATGTGTGATATTTAACAGATAAGAGTATTGGAAAAGGACAGGTTTCTTACAGCATCCTTATGGTAATGATGCCGAGGAAGTCAAAGCATTTG